CATAAGAAGTCATCTGACAATCTCTACGGTGGGAGTTTGAGCGAGTTTGAAGTGCAGACTGCACCTATAACCGATGGTGTGCTTCCAGGAGTGATAAGAGATGTTGTTATCGAGTAAGAAAATTTTAAAATGCTACAAATTTGTTGGACCATTTCAAATGTTGAGTATGCTATTCTGTTTATGGCTTAATCAACAATATTTTTGCTTTTCTTGTCAGTGTGTGTTTAAGCAAAGGAATTCCATACCGCGAGAGAGCACCTTCGTGGTCTGAGCATGAGCTTTGGGAAGAAGCCTTCATTACAAGTTAAACCTTTTCATATCCATTATGTTTTCCGAACTCAGTTTTCTTTCTTCTCGCCAAACATTTTCGTATGTTGTGTATTTTAACATGTTAAGAACTCTTTGGATGCAGGTAGTTTGAGGATTTTGCAACATGTAGGGACGATCAAAGTACCGGTTGGTTCATTAGAAGCATTGGCGTGTACCAAACCAGAAGAGTTTCAATGGAAGGAGAAAAAGTTTGAGGAAGGACCTGGGATGATCACTGAATTAATCCAGGTAAAGCTTGAAATCACTCTTTAATCATTGGTTTAGTCCAGTTAATCAGTCTTTGAGTTAATCGAAGATAGAAATCTATTCAAAGGCGATGACATTCGTCGTTTTTTTCTGATGTTTGGAATAGAGAGGGATAATGGAGAGAGGAATTGAAGAAGGTTTCTTGTTGAAGGACTTTTAAGGCCTCTTTGCTAAATACAACTGAAATGCTTGTTGGTCGTCTATGGTTTATTTGATGCCATAATTACCTTTTTCGATAAAATGTAATCAATACTCTCTCATCAAACTGAAAATGCTTTTTCGATTTGAGCTAGAAACTTCGTTACTTCTGATTGCATGATGCTTGATCTAATTTCGTTAGTATGGATTTGTTTGTCATAATCACACTTAAAACTAATGACTTTATCCATTATAGATCTAAGCAGATTGGATAAAAATCAGATTAGATCCATCTAATCAAAAGTGATCACATTATCAAAGTCAAGTTAATCCATGTGTTAATATGCTAAACCAGAATATAAAAATACCAACATCCCCTATACCTCGGGTTGCAATTATGCACGATCTCGTCCCCAAAAGTCCATGACCCATCCACGTCCCGCCAGATCTAAGTCAACGGTGACTCACACTCACCACGTGTCACTCACTCATTTGATATCTCCTCCACGTACACTCGTGAAAGACTATTAAAACTCTTCTTTGCAATCAAAATTATAAAACCCCAAAATCCTCTCCTACTTCAGTTTTCACTTTCTGCTCTCTCTCTCCGTGCATCAATGGCGTCGTCAAGAAGCATCTCTCTCTTCCTCTTCGTCTCTTTCATTCTCCTCGTTAACTCGCGCGCGGAGAATGCGGCAAGCGACTCAGATCTCGACGAGGAATTGGCTTTCCTCGCCGCTGAGGAATCCAAGGAACAACAAAGCCACCAAGCCGGTTCGTACCCGGAGGAACACGATCAGCACCGGGATTTCGAGAATTACGAGGATCTCGAGCACGAAGGTGGAGAGTATCATCACGGAGAGCACGGAGGCGGCGGGTACGAGGAGGAGCCTTTACCTACCGTCGACGAGAAAGACGTGGCGGTTTTGACCAAGGACAATTTCACTGACTTCGTCGGGAACAATAGCTTCGCGATGGTGGAGTTTTACGCTCCATGGTGCGGTGCTTGTCAGGCTTTGGCGCCGGAGTACGCTGCGGCGGCGACGGAGTTAAAGGGAGTTGCGGCGCTCGCGAAGATCGATGCGACGGAGGAAGGGGATTTGGCTCAGAAGTACGAGATTCAGGCGTTCCCTACCGTTTTCTTGTTTGTTGATGGAGAAATGCGAAAGACCTACGAAGGAGAAAGGACTAAGTAAGTGGATTATGTCTTTCTCTACTCACACTATCTCACTCATTTCCTTGGTTTGAATTTGAGTTAGACTTAGCCAACTTTTAGGAAGTTTGAGATACGAACATGATCACCAGGTTTAGCTTTGGCTTTAGTGATCTAATAATGTGAGATAGTTCACTGGAAGTGTAATAGAATTAGCTTTGGATCTTGAGATATTCGATGGTTTGGAAGATAATTGTTAATGTTAATGACTCTGAAGAAAGTCAACTATGGACCTGTGAAGTAATTTTGAGAACTATTGATGTTGATGAATCTGGGAAGAAGGTCAAGTATGAAATGGTGCAATAGAGGACTTGTGATCTTGGATCTATTCTATCTGATTTGGTTTCTCATCTTTCGTTTTCGATAGAAATTATCCTTCAAGGCGAGTCACCATGATTTGATAAAAAAAAAACCTTATTTTACAGGGATGGAATTGTGACTTGGCTGAAGAAGAAGGCCAGTCCAAGCATCCACAACATCACTACAAAAGAGGAGGCTGAGCGTGTTTTGTCTGCTGAACCTAAAGTTGTTCTTGGTTTTCTCAACTCCTTAGTGGTATGCATCCTTTTAATCCAACTTGCTTTGTGCTTTCCTTCTTGGATTCATTATGCATTTTTAGCGTCACGGAGTTATAAAACACATGCCCAACTAAATTGGTTACCGTGGGGCATCTCAACTCAACAAAAAGAGACCGAGAGATTAATTATTAAGGAAAATGCCTCTGATGTTGCAATCTATGTTATAGTTGGTATTAGGGCTTGCATACCAGATCCTTTTGCCTAATGCATATTACTTTGTGTGCCTTGGAGTTTTAAGATGCAGGATTTACAAGTGTGAAGCTTTGCTTTTATTATCCTATTCTGCCATCTTTTTCACCATTTTTTCTTCCTCAGGGGCCTGAGAGTGAGGAGCTTGCAGCTGCATCCAGGTTGGAAGACGATCTCAGTTTCTACCAAACTGCAAGCCCTGATATTGCAAAGCTATTTGAAATAGAAACCGAAGCCAAGCGTCCTGCCTTGGTTTTGCTGAAAAAAGAGGACGAGAAACTCTCTCGTTTTGGTAAAGACCCCTCAAACATATTACTTCTTCTTTCCGCTGCTTAGATTTCCTCTTATGTGTCTCACTCATTGTGCTCCTTTTTGACAGATGGCAATTTCACGAAGGCAGCTATATCAGAGTTTGTGTCAGCCAACAAAGTTCCTTTGGTCATCAACTTCACTAGGGAAGGCGCATCACTGATTTTCGATAACGCAGTGAAAAACCAAGTAAGACCGTTCTGTCTTTTGAAAAATTTCCTCTGTTCATTCCGACAAACAAAGGAGATTGACTTTGATTTCTTAAACCTTGCCAGCTCATTCTTTTTGCTAAGGCAAATGAATCAGAGAAGCACCTTCCCACTCTGAGGGAGGTGGCAAAGTCCTTCAAGGGAAAGGTAACTTTTATCTTTTGCCTTTCTGTGGTCATTTTGCTCACTTTCAGGAACAATTTTATTGAGTTGGAAGGGCAATCCTCTCTATTTGTCTGCAGTTTGTATTTGTGTATGTGCAAATGGACAATGAGGATTATGGGGAAGCTGTTTCTGGATTCTTTGGTGTTACCGGCAGTGACCCCAAGGTAAAGTCGTTGATGTGAAATATCAGTGTATCAGTTTTTTTTTTTTTTTATTAGCAAACCAATTTTTTCGCGTATGCAGGTTCTTGTATACACTGGAAATGATGATATGAGGAAGTTTATTCTGGACGGTGAATTGACCGTAAAGAACATTAAGGTCGGCTCAACTTCTATTTTCTGTGAAATTTTATGGTTTCAGTACGTGTTGTTCATTATTTGGTGAGCTCTCTTAACGCAACGAGTTTTTTTTTTCTAACAGACACTTGCGGAAGATTTCTTAGCAGACAAACTCAAGCCTTTCTACAAGTCAGATCCAGTACCTGAAAACGTAAGCCTTCCCACATTTCAACACACACATGTAAACACGCCATATAATACTGATTCACTAGCTTCAAAATCAAACGCAGAATGACGGTGATGTTAAGATCGTTGTGGGAAACAATTTTGACGAGATTGTTCTTGACGAGTCAAGGGATGTTCTTCTTGAGGTAATAATCACTTTGAAACGTTAGAGCGTTATTTACACATCTTAGTACATGTACTCAAAGCGTGAGTTTTGTCTGTTAGATATATGCTCCTTGGTGTGGCTACTGCCAATCATTTGAGCCGATTTACAACAAGCTTGGAAAATATCTAAAAGGTATCGACTCGCTAGTTGTAGCCAAGATGGATGGTACCACCAATGAGCATCCTAGAGCAAAGGTAATTTAGCTTTTGAGTGATTCAAGACTAAAGAAGAGAAGTGATTGTTTTGGTTTTGTCTAAAAAATTTGTTTATGTGTTCAGGCTGATGGGTTCCCAACAATCCTGTTCTTCCCTGGTGGAAACAAGAGCTTCGATCCGGTTAGCGACGA